AGAATTGAATTTTAACAAACTATGGAATCAAGAAAACTTTAATATTGACAAAAAAATTAACAATCTGAAAGCAGCAAAATTTCGCACACAGAAAGAAAAAATAAAAAATATTAATTACAATTTGGAGATTACGAAACCTATTGACAAAGATTTAAATAATATTTTTTATCCGACTAAAATTAACAATATTTCTATAAATGACATTCAAGCTAATACTTTGACGGTAGTTCATAATACCAATGTCAACCCGGAAAATTTTAATACAGATTACAATTTTAATAAAATCAATAATAACTGGTTAATAAATCTAAGTAACGTTGACATTCCAGAGAATTCTAAATGCATTTTACAATTAGGACAAAGATTCAATTTACCTAATAATGTTATAAACAAAGAAAACATAACAATAGAGTTTGTTAAACATATAGAGAATAATTTGATCAAATTAGATGACAAAACTAAGAACGATATTAGAAAAGATACTATTCCTATTTTAAACAAGATGCATTTCAATCAACCTAACAATTTGAATAACAACACAATCAAAAATGGTCTTAAAGAACTTAACAAATTCATAAAAGAGCACCCTGACATTTTAATCACCAGAGCTGACAAAGGTAACACTACTGTAATTTTAAATCGTAATGACTATAATAAAAAAATGTATGAAATTTTGACTGATAAAAATACTTATAAGACTATTGAAAAAGATCCCACCAATAAAATGACGACGGAAATGCGTACAATTTTGACACGTTGGAAAAAGAGAGGTTACATTGACCAATCCACTTATAATAAATTATATATTTCTGATGGGGATTGTCCTAGATCTTATGGGTTGGCCAAAGTACACAAGAAAGATTATCCATTCAGAATGATTGTTAGTTGCACTAATAGTCCATTTTTTAATCTTGCTTCATATCTAAAAGACATTATTGACAAAAGTATTAAAAGGAATGTTGGATACATAAAAAATAGTTTCGAACTCGTCAAGAAAATTAATGGCTTAATATTGAATAAAGACTATAAGTTGGTATCATTCGACATCACATCCATGTATACTAACATTCCAAATGATTTAGCCATTGATAGTATTTTAAGGAGATGGGATCTCATAAAATGTAACACTACAATTCCAAAAAACGAATTTAAAATTGCTATCTCCATCATATTAAGTTTGACGTTTTTTAAATTTGATGGGTTATTCTTTAAACAAATCTTTGGCTTGCCCATGGGATCGCCTCTCTCCCCAATACTTGCGGACACAGTAATTCAGGATTTAGAATTAAATGTTTTTAATAAGCTCACTTTTCATGTTCCCATCTATTTTAGATATGTAACCGATATTATTATTGCTTTGCCAAACGATCAAATCATTTCCACACTTGATACCTTTAACTCATACCACGAAAGAATTAAATTCACGGTCGAGTTTGGGGATGATATTGGAATAAGCTTTCTGGATGTAAAGTTAATCATAGAGAATGGGAGATTGATTTTTGATAATTATAAGAAGCCCACAGATTCTGGCAGATATTTGAACTTTTATTCAAATCATCCCCTGATACATAAAAAAGGCGTAGTAATTGGACAGCTCGACAGGGTATTGTTTCTTTCTCATCCACAATTCCACGAAAAAAATATAACATACTTAATTAACACATTTTTGGAAAATGGATATCCGTTGGATTTTTTGTTTGCAACAATCAATAACAGAATTAAAACTTTAACTCACAATAAGAAATTTGAGAATATTAATGAAAGGAAAATAAACCAAAATTTGGATTCAACTACCAGTAATATAAAATACTTTACTATTCCATATTTTAAGAAAATATCTGAAAAGTTCATAACAGTTACTAAAAAATTTAATTTCAACATCGCTCATAAACCGTTAAATAATTTACGTTCATTTATAAAAACAGGTAAAGACACTATTAAAAAAGAAGACCGGTCTAACGTAATATATAAAATAAGTTGTCGTGATTGTGATTGTACATATGTTGGACAAACCAAACGAAAACTCAATACCAGACTAAAGGAACATAAAAATGACTACAAAAAACCAACAAATAATTTATCTGTCATATCTCAACATATGTTAGATTTCAATCATGAAATTGATTGGAATAATATGAACATAATTGACTTTGAACCATCATATTACAAACGATTGGTCTCAGAAATGATCCATATAAAGAAACAGAAAAATAGTCTGAATAAACAAAATGATACGGAACGTTTTCCACAAATGTATTCTTCGATTATTGGTTAAATATTAATAATTGAATCTCAAACAATAACTTATCTTTACATAATTTAATAGAAATTGGTACTTCTGGGTAACTTGATGTCGAGAGAAATAATGCTGGCTATTGGGTAGTCATAACGATTTGGTCGACAGAATATATTAAATAACATTAAAATTTTCTAATACATAAAATTTCAAATCAGTTCACATAACGCAGTACTAAAAGAGAATTATGGACTCCTTCGAGGAACAGATATCAGTGAATACGTGGTGAGCATATTAAAAATCACATTTGACGAAACGTGATTGTATTGTAAATTAATTGACATAATATTTGATTATTAATGGTTTTTTTTGGTTCTTTTCACAAAGTTCGTAATCGTATGTATTGTCGCAGAAAAAGATGTATTACGCATGTAGAAAATTTTATATATATATATAATATTTTACAATTAAAAAATTTTCTACATGCGTAATACATCTTTTTCGGCGACAATATATACGATTACGAACTTTGTGGCGTTACATACTATAACTTTTGGGAAACAAATATTATTTTTTTAATATGTATAGTTAGCAAGTTTTTATCTTGATCATTTGGATGTTTTAATTTTAATTATAATATTTAAATTTAATGTACTGAAGATGGTCACATGTTAGACCGAAACGTTTACTAAATTTTATTTTGAAATATATACTGTAAGCTAAATACATCAAGCGTTGTGGCTGTATGCTCCTTATTGTTTACAATTATCCTATTTAACGGAACAACTTAATTAAACATATCTAAATTAATTATTAGTTAGTAATGTTAATACACACATATTACGAATATGAAAATGTCATCATGTCTTGATAGAAAAGGGTAAATATAATTTTCTGTATTATTTTCAGTGACGTGACGGTTTCGTCGAACGTTCGCGAGTGGTTACGCTCGCCGGCCTTCGACGCGCGACAGTGGGAAGACGAGGAGTTGTTGCTGATGCTGCAGACAATGTTTGTCGAGCTCGACCTACCTCAAAAATTCAACATTCCCTTGCCGATTCTGAGGAACTTCCTGTACGAAGTCTACAATAATTACAACGAGGTGCCATTTCACAATTTCAGGCACTGTTTCTGCGTGGCGCAAATGGTGAGTATTTCTTCATCTTCATAGAGCTCTAATTCGCACAATTTTCCGCGTAGACAATTAACAGTTATGTGGTAGCGTGATTGTAATTACATGTTGATACGCGAAAAGATGTATAATAATAATAATAAGTGTGATGAACAATCTTGCAGTAATTACGATGACTAATTGTTTGTTACACTAATTGTTTGATTACACCTATTAATTGGCGTTAACTGCATTATTCTACAGTATAATATAATTAAATTATTTCTCAAGCGATTAAAATACATGTATAATAATACGCTTTAATCTATAGCTACAGATCGAATTGAGTTATCGGCTCAGTGCTAATTGATTGTATCTAGATGTACGCGATAGCCTGGGCGGTGGACCTTCCGTCGAAAATCGGCGACCTCGAGGTCCTCATACTGATTGTCTCCTGTATTTGCCATGATCTCGATCATCCGGGCTACAATAATATCTATCAAATAAACGCGCGGACTGAGTTGGCGTTACGCTACAACGATATCTCGCCCCTGGAGAATCATCATTGCTCTGTGGCATTCCGGGTCTTGGAGGCGCCCGAGTGCAACATTCTCGCATCCTTGGACAACCCTACGTATAGAATAGTTCGTGAGGGCATCATAAGATGCATCCTAGCGACCGACATGGCCCGGCACAACGAGATCCTCGGCCAGTTCACCGACATTACTCCCGAATTCGATTACACTAGCAAGGCGCACATAAATTTGGTAATCCACCGACGAAGTATTTAATAATTGATGAAGTGTATTTAATGATATTTAATCGGATCAACTTAATTTTTTATTTATGTTTCGCAGTTGTCCATGATCTTGATCAAAGTGGCTGATATAAGCAACGAGGCACGACCGATGGAAGTCGCGGAACCATGGCTGGATAGATTGCTTCAAGAGTTCTTCAAGCAGAGCGACGCAGAGAAACTCGAGGGTCTTCCGGTCACGCCCTTCATGGATCGCGATAAAGTGACCAAGCCGTCCTCCCAAGTTAGCTTCATCGGCCTAGTTCTCCTCCCTCTCTTCGAAGCTCTCGGCGAACTTCTACCCGAGTTGCAGGTATTTCATCTTTTTATACATAAACTTATCTATCTGTGTCTGGAAATAATTAGCAGTATGCAGTTACCTACATATAACTAAATCCGTATAAAATTCTATTTTTCAGGATCTCATAGTTCAACCGGTCAGGGAAGCTCTGGAGTATTATCGAAGACTGAATGAAGCAGCCAAAGATGAGCGCCATCATCGGAGGAGCGTCGTCGACGTCGGGGAGTCGGCGCCATCCAACATGTCAACCGCTACCGGTAGTTCGTCCACCGTTATCAAGTCTACATCGTCGCATAGCATGCGCTCAAAAAGGTCCGCTACGACAATTCATTCGCGTTCGCGTTCCACCGACGATGATATCACAGAAAATTTGACGATGGAGGAGGCGGAAAATGTCGAGAGCTCTGATCCGGAGACCGCCACGGAGGTAGAGATCAGCGAAAAGACGCTAAAGTTCAAAATTTCTACGGAGGGCACACTGACCGGCCCGACGTCCGGTCGGAAGAGCTATCCTGGCAGTCGAAAAGGCAGCCGGGAAAAATCTTCGTTGGATTATCACAATCACGATTTGGTCAAAGCTGTTCGTGATCATGATTACGAAAGGAGACGTAGCAAGGGCGAAAATCTTGGCAGTGACCTGAGCTCGCCGGTGAGCGCGAGGTCTGCCGAGGGCACGCGGATCCTTGAGGAAATGGAGAAAGACACGATTATTTCAGACGCCAAGATTGAAAGCAAGACGCCTGAGGGAAACGGTAATGTCGTCGCGGTGGAGGCCCGCTCGCAACCGAAGAACAATGTAAGGAAAACCAGCAATGTCATAGAGAACGATCAGGAAAACAGATCAAGTCGCAGGGATGCTCACAGTAGTCGGGAATCGATCGGTTTGCGATGTTGCTGCGACGACAAAACTGGGCCGAATAACAAGTCTCTATTCTCACGACTGAGGAACTTTACGGACCGTCTTAGCATGAGCTTCGACTCAAAAGACTCGCCTAGTCCAAAACCGAAGCATACTTCGAAGATGCTCAATAAGAGTAACTCGATTAGTAGTGGTTCGGCCACGACTACCTCGTCGAGGTATAACAACTCGTTGTTTATTTGCAAACGCTGCAACTTGGTTAAGTCCTCAGTAAAACACGGCAACAAGGCAGCCATTGCAACCGTGGTGGAGTTATCATCAGTGGACAAACGGGCGATGACTCTGCCAAAGGTTCGAAAGTCCACGGATAGTAAAAATAAGAGCTGGCGAACGGTATTCGCTAAAGAGAAGAGATCGTCCACTTCTTTGGAGGTTTTACCGGCAGCCGGTTCTGGCTCCCGTTCGTTTTCCAAGCACCGCAGAAACTTGTCAAACCCCGAGGGCAAGTCGCAAAGCTTGAAGGAAACGAAGACTCGACAAACTTTGGACATCGAGTTCCATGAAATAGATGTTCGTTCGAAGAATCAACAGCCTGAAATTATAGTCAATCCAGACGATACCTGCTGCGATATCGAAGAAGATCTCGGCAAGGTAGAAATCAGAAGAAGTTCGGCCAGCATGGAAGATATCTCCAAAATGGCGAAACAGGCAGCGGAAGCTGCTGTATTAGGCGTGCTAGATCCTAAAAAGGCGGAGGAGCGTCCTCATACCGGTAGTCTAGACTCGATGCTCTACAAAGACGTGTCCAAGTCACGAAAGAAGCATTCCGCATTCTGCTCGCCCGCGACGACAAAAAAATCATCACCTGGACTATTTTCGCGATTTAAATCTGGTATGAGCATCGATAGCACTCGGAGCAATAGCAACAGCGATTCCTTGCATGATCACGGTTCACAAAGCGGTTGGATATCCTCATTGACAGCTAGCTTTCGGCCGAAAAGACATCCGAACGAAACGCCGCTGTCACCGCATCCACCGAGGTCGCCCAGCAGAGAGGAGATCAAGTGATACGTCCTGGTGGTCGAGGATTCCTCTGACAAGAAACTCAGCCTCCGCGGCTGGTGGCCTGAGAACTTGTTTTGCTGCAATAGCTAAGAATCGAGCGAGAAAGTTGAATGTCTAAAGAGGCTAATTTAGACCAAGAAATTTTCGGGAATATCGTCTTCATATTCGTAAAAAAAGAAATAAATAAAATGATTTCTAAAAGATTTTTTAAGACGTTTAAATTTTCTAATGCAGAAATTATCTCGCGTACTTCTCTCTCATTGCGATATTAATTGTTAATAGATTAATAATTGCCGTGGAAAAATCTCTGATCGCGAACGCGTCAACTATATTCTATTTTGCGAAATAAAATGTACCATAAATTCTTGTGAGTAATTCACAATGTCGTAGCGTACGATGCATTTGTAATATACGAATTAAATGTTTCTCTATGTATAATATTGAAAACGGTCAATTTGAATGAACGTGTTTGCTCGAGCATGTCATTTATCGAGAAAATATTAGATATATATACAATATATGATTATCGCAATTGAATTAAAATAATCTTGCAGAGGAATCCTCAGACCATTATTTCGTGTTATCGACTTTGAGTGTTTTATGTCATGACGATCGCAAAAATTGAGATACATTTATTTGTGAAGGGCATCTACGGCCTGTGGAATACAAGGAGATGTATGCTATATACATAAACTATTTTATTTATTGTTCAATTAAAGAGTAGCCTAATGCGTAATCATTAATGTTGTTCGTTACTATACATATATAAATATAGATAAAGTGCAGATGTATACAGAGACATAAGGATATACACATATCCATCGTGCATAAAAAAAATATATATAAATCTATAATATACGCGAGCAAGTGGATAATTAAACGGAAAAGAAGAGGAAGAAGATATACAAGTAGATATGTAAACGTGGCTCTGTCGTATCGATGTACGATTAAGTTTTACGAACTATGTAATCGAGGATGTAGGGATAAGAGAATATTCTCTGACTGCTTCTAGAATATCCTGAAAATAATCGCGTGTTTTTAGACAATATTCTCAAAATGAAGATATTACTGTTTTCCAAAAGCACGTGATTATTCCAATTCTGAAAAAAAGAGACATGTATACACATATATTCTCGAATCCTAGAATATTCTTAGATTATTTTCATTCTCGCAAAGACTTCACCTCACCTAAAATTAGCAGTTGCCACGGTGAAAAGAGAAAATGAGATAGATTTGTCGGAATAATTATTGCACTGTTCGTCAAGATTCACGCGGCGAAAAATCTCGTCGATTCATTTGATCGGAGAATATTACACGAAAAGAACAGTTTTGCTAAAGTATTTAATTTAGCTAGATCTGATCAGCGTATACAGAAAGAGAATCCCCTAAAAAAACTGTGACTTTCAGAGTATCAGATTGCTTCTTGTTCTAATGAAGTTAATTGCAATGTTGGCATTTAACGATGTCTCAAGCATGGAAATAACCCGTAAATCGTAAAACTTCATCGAATTTAGCTAGATAAATTTAAAAATAATTTTGTTAAACCATTAAATAATTATATAGGATAATCATAATTAAGACGCTTAAGTTATTTTGCTAAAATGTCAAAACTTTTTGCAACATTACTCATACAATATATACTTAAGTGTTTTGATAATTTAACAAAATTATTTTCAGATCTGTATGTAGCTAAATTTTTAAAGACTTCAACAAAATCGTTCTTTTCAAGAATTGTATCGCAAATTATCTTTTATCCAGCTACGTCACTAAAGTGCAATCAAGTTTGAAAAAATGATTTGTTTTCGCTGATGTATTAATCAAGGAAAACAGATCTGTTTGAAATTTCTTGAAAGAGATTGGCGATTTGGAAATATTGTGATCTCAGCGTCTCTTCGAACGTCAAACACTGCGAGAAAGAGTAAACTTCGAAAAAGAAAAACACCCAATTCTTAATGGTTCTATTCTCGACGAACTGTCCTCTCCTGTGATTATTCCGTTTAAAAATTTAGACACATAATTTTGGTTAACATACGCATTACGTGCGAATTACTTCTATACGGCGTTTTGCTTTTCATGTTTAGCTGTTTATACTTTTATACCTTAACTGCGTTTGTACAGCGATTAAAAACCGTATGTATTGTTGAATTCTAGTCTTATGTTATTGTTTTTAAGGAAAAAGAGTTGGTTTCAGGCGCGTTTTATTTTCTGTGACGGTCTTCGCGAGAAAAAACTCGATGTGCGAACGAATGAGCGAGCGAGCGAACGAATGAACGAACGAGCGAACGATTCTGCCAATTATTTGACCGATTATTTGATAAATGATTTGTTCCTCTCTCTCTTTTTTTCCATGCCATAAAATTAGGATTTGTCGATTTAATTAAATGGAACTGAATGCATGACGACACAAGCGGAAAAGCTATGTGTAAAACCATTAAATAATTCATTTTAATTTTAAATTCTATGTGTAAGAAAAAGAATAAAGATTGCGTTAACCGCGCAATCTTTTTATGCAGTAAATTCTGCTGTCGGGACACAAAATCGAAAACCAAATAATTATATCAGACTTTCAGTAAATCTTTTGTAACTCTTTCACGAGTTTTAGAATTGAATTAGTGTAGTCACATTTTCCTACAATATAAGAAAGCTATTATCGAAAAAAATAGTAATGGACATTTAAGAAACGAAAAATTGAAACAAGTAGAAAAATGCGGTTATGAGAAAGTGACGTCAATGTATGACGCATATTATAATAATAAATAATCAAATTTTCAATTTGTGATGTGGATGGAAAAAGGCATTTGATTCTCGAAATAATATTACTAAGTAATCGTAGAAATAAAATTTCTACCTAAAAATTTCAATCTCAATTAGATTTTATCTGGATCAATTAAACACTATGCGAAATATCTTATAATAAATAAAAATAAGATAATGTGAATAATGAGAAAATATTATTTTTATTACTTTTGAAAACATAAAAATTAATTAAAAAAATTTTTTAATGTAAGGATATTAAAACATTGCAAACTGATAATGTTAATGAGAATATGATCAAACTACAATTTTTTCCGAGTTGTGTAGATTAAACTTGAATGGAATAATCAAGTATTTATTATAAAAGAGTTGTGTGTATCATGACCAAACTGTTTCTAAAATATTTCTATTTCATATCCTAGAAAAAAATCAAATGTACTTTTTTCATTTATATCGCTTGCTCTTTGTGCCTGATCGTTATTAGTGTTCAAGATCGATATTGGAAAAAGGTACTCAAAGGCTAATTATTTTTAAAACTTTTTCTAATTATACAATAGCAAACAATTTTTTTTCGATTTTAATCTTTCAAAAGTAGTCCTCTTTACAGAAATGAATAATTATTTAATAAAATTATTGTTATATTAAACTTGCGATACAAATATGAAAAATTATCTCAATTTTTGAAATTTTCTAATACAAGGACTTTTCTTATAAATAAAAACATTAATGTAAATTTCTTTTTATAAATTTCTTTTAAATTTTAAATTTGTCAATATATTCTCGGATCAATGTATTTTCGGGTACTTTTTTCCGAAACTAGTCACACGTTTATCTACAATCTTACATATTCGACTTTTTCGACTATTTCTCAAAGACTTTATTAAAACATAATCAATGATTTTCCGAAATAACCAAAAAATCTATTTAAATTAAAATCTAAGTTTCATAAAATAGAATGTGGAATAAAATTCAATTTATAAGAACGTTGAAATATTGATCATCGCTTCTCCAGTGTCTAATGATTAGAGATGCATAATAAATGAATAAAACAGAAATATATTAATAACATGAAAAGGAACGCAATGGGCCAATCGATCCGTATTATACGGCATCGTTTTACTCGTCAATTGAATCTTTAGTCCCTCTAGAATTTTTCTCATATTCCAATTATCGTCGTCAATTATTGGGATAAAATACATTTAAACTCGTTCGCATAATTCATTGTGGTCTCCATTTCCATGTTAACGTTGAAGAGAAGAAATCGGTGTTTAACACGCTTAACTTTATTTATTATTATACCTTTATACCAAAATTATCAATTTATTGTGTATACGACAATCTTGTTTTAACCAAAGTTACCAATTTTTTAAATGCTCCTTTTAGCGCTAATATTAGCATTCACAGAGAAATAATGTGAAAAGAAAGATTTAGAAGTTTTGCAACTTCTGTTTTAGAACTTCTGAAGAAAGTTCTCACTTCTTCCATGCTTTCCTCCATCCTATTCGCCTGACGTAAAAATAAGACGGCTTGATGTTGACAGAAAATAAATTTGATTTATTACTCAGTCATCAAATATATTTTTACATTTAATAATTATTAATGGTTAAATTAAATTATTAGTTATTGAATAATTGCTCTACGTTAACATTGATACCAGTTGCTATTAAAAAGTAACCCGTTATGATAATGTCATTTCTAATTTGAAATCATTTGAGTGTTCGATAATTATTAAAATAATTAACGAGCTTATAAAATGTTATTACCATAGCAACATATGAGATGTTCGTAGAAGTGGCGTGAGCTCAATGCACACATTTGAGTAAAACGCGGTTATAAAGATGTTAAATAGTGCAGCTTTGTTGACATTTCAAATTGTGATTAATATTATTTTTAAACAAACAGCTTTGTGTATCGCAGCATTTCGAATTCTAATACGAAACCTCTCGATGTGTATCCTTCGTGAATTCGAATAATTGAATCACGTGAACAAATTTCGTGTTTATACAAGATCCGTTCTCCGTCTCTCGCCGTCCTTTTCCCATATGGCGTTAAATTAAGTCACCGATTGCCAAGAGAAAAGAAAAAAAGAAATCAGTCGCGATTGTTGCATCGGTCTCATCGTTAAGGGAATGTTAATTATATGAAATTTATGCGTACGACGTAATTTGCACGTGAGAACGTGTATATATGTACAGATATATGTGATGCATATATCGATATAAGATACCTAATTCGATAAAAATGGAATATTCTATATGTATATATCTATGTGTATGTGTATGTATATGATATACATGTACACGTACATACGTACATGCATGTACACATAATGAACAAAAAAGTAATTATATAAATAAATAAATAAATAGATTATATATATTTACCTGATATATGAAGAGTTAAAGGGAGAAGAACAAAAATATAGTTAATGCTCGCGGGCGAGTTACTAGCGCGATATTATAATGTTATCGATATTATGTTATGGTATTGTGTATGGATGAAGCGTGTATAATTCTGTGTGAAAAGTATCGATAGAAATCCCACACACGCATTGCGGAAGAAGTGTACTGATTTATTGTTGTTCAGTGGCGGCGTATTTCTTTCCTTTACGTGATATCATTTAGAATTGACGATTGTTTCATCCTCAATTCGTCCTTAATTGTATTTGATGAGAAACATTTACCTTAATCAAATTAATTGACGTCAATATAGCGTCACTTTTGCTATTCTACGGCGGAACAGAATCGATACCTAAATTAAAAAATTATAATATTTGTGATGTCTTCCTGACACAGTTAGAAATAAAAGTAACTCATGTTGCAGTAATTTCTAACTTTGCATTTATGTTAGCGTTCGAAATAAAAATATTTAACTTTTAACAAAACTTTTGAAAATTTCTTATTTCTCATTGATTTGTTGTTTTAAAACGACGTTTTTGAAGGGTTTCAGAAAAAATGTATAAAGATATTTGCAATTAATGTGTACTAGTATTTAGTGTATATTATTCTGATCGCAGGCGTGTTGATGAGAAAAAGAAAGATACAAACCAGTTCTATCAATCCTGTAATCTGTACAGTTAGAATGTGCATTTTTAGATATAATCTTCTGATCCTGTTGAGTTATATATATGATAAACACATTCCTATGAAATGCGATCAGAAGGATTACATTTGAAAAAGAGAACTATTAGAACTGCTTATGTATACGATCGTCACGATATATGTAATCGTGTGTATTATTTATTAATATTACGAATTGAAATCATCGCAAACCATATTATAAAGCCCACCGTCACTGAACAAAACGTGCGAAGAAAAGTATACATATTTATATATAAAAATATATATATATATTTGCTCTCTCTCTCTCTCTCTCTCTC